CAGGAAGGGAAGCAAATAAATGCCATTCTGAAAGATACAAAGGCTGAATACATTGTGGAGTTGGCAAAATAAGGGACTGAAGGATTTGTATCCTGGAATAACCCACAGGCTTCCTTTTCTTAGGGGAGGAAACAGAAAATGTTCATGTAACAAGTAGCAACATTAGAGCAGTGTTTCAGTGTTTCTGGTTGAGATACAGAGGAGCAGAGGGGGAAAGAGAAGGGAACCTTGACATGGGCCTTTTGAAAAAGTTCCTGAGGGAATTTGGATACAGACTCTGGGTTGGGAATCATTGAAGAGTGCCTGGCATATTGTTGTTGTTGCTGTGTGCCGTCGAGTCGGACCTGACTCATAGTGACCCCTCCTTGGGTTCCCGAGGCGGTATCACTATGGAAGTAGATTGCCCAACCTTCCTTCCAAGGAGTGGCTGGTGGGTTTGAACCACCAGCCTTCTGGTTAGCAATCAAGTGCCTTAGGCACTATGCTACCAGAGCTCTTATGGTAGGTGTTTAATAAACGTTTGTTGACTGACTTGGAAAGATGAGATAGTCCAATGCATGCTGGTGCTTTCCACAGGTCTGAAAGTGATACTCTCTCTCCTTATCAGTGGGAAGAAGCTGAGCAGAAAGTCTGAGTATGCCCAAAATTTGTTACTTTGTTTAAAAAAAGAAAAAGGTAGAAAGAGGAAAGAAAATAAAGTCACATTCAAAGTGTCACATTCATCTGTGTTAAAATCAAGTGGTAGCAAGACATGTCAAAGCAATACATAATTAGATTACTATTATTGTATCTTCTAGCCAGAAAAAAAACACAAAACCCAGTTGCCTGCAAGTCAATTTTGACTCATGGTGATCCCCCATGTGTGTCAGAGTAGAACTGCACATAGAGTTTTCAATGGCTGTGAACCTTTCAGAAGTCATCGCCAGGCCTTTCTTCCAAGGTGTGTCTAGGTGGGTTTGAACTACCAACCTTTTGGTTAGTAGTTGAGTGCTCAATTATTTCCATCATTCTGTTGTGGAATGAAAACTAACCCCCCAAGTTTTACCTTAAAACCAAACCCACTGCCATCAAGTTGATTCCAACTCGTAACAACCATATAGGACAGAGTAGAACTGCCCCCACAGGGTTTCTAAGGCTGTAAATCGTTACAGAAGCAGACTGCTTCATCTTTCTCCTGTGAGGCACCTGGTGAGCTTGAATTGCCGATCTTTTGGTTAGCAGCCGAATGTCTTGACCACTGTGCCACCAGACCTCCTTATGGTTTAAAACAATATATGATTATTATTGTCTTTGAGTCCACAAGTCAGTTAAGTGGTTCTTTCTAGAGTAGCTGTCTCTACTGGGCATACTCATGCGTCTGTGGTTAGCTATGGGATCTTGAATGAACTGTTGCATATTTGGGGTTGGTCAACTACAGGCTGGCCTTGGCTGACATGACCAGGCCTTTCTCCATGTGATCTCTCATGCTAGAGAATGGCTTACACTGGGCTTGTTTATAAGGCTTACAGGGTTACAAGAGAATGAGTGAAAACATGCAAGGTCTCTTGAGGCCCAAACTCTGAATGGCATCTCTGTCACATGCTGTTAACTGAGCCAAATCCAGGCCAGACTCAAAATGACACTTCTGTCACATGCTGTTAGCTGAGCCAAATCTAGCCCAGGCTAGAGACTGGGTTAGACTGGGCTTGTTTATAAGGTTTACATGGTTATAACAGAATGAGCAAAAACATGCGTGGTCTTTTGAGGCCCAGACTCGGAATAACACTTCTGTCACATGCTATTAGCTGACCCAAATCCAGCCCAGATTTAAGAGGTACGGAAATAGATAGCACTTCTTGATGGGAGGAGTTGCAACGCCACATTGCAAAAGACAGGGATAGAAAGAGGGGTGAAAAATTGCAGCACATCTATTTTTACAATCATGATCCATGTACTGACCCGGAATTGTGTGTTGTTTATGTCCTTGATCAACACTGATCACATACTGATAGTTCTAAATGTTCTGTGTGTTTCCCTACCAGACTGCTCTTCTAGAAGGAAGAGGTGTGTTTGGTTTGCATTCTTTGGAGTTTGGAGCAAGCTAATCCATGCAGTGTGCAACTGGGCACATTGTAAATACACCTGATAGAATAATAGTAAACCCTTCTGAATTGTACTAAGCAATTGATTCAAATAGCATCAGAGGAGAGTGGTCACTTCAGTTTTGTGATTAGATTTGGTCTTTTTATTTGTAAGTTTTGAAACATGATTTATTCACTGAGAGTTCCCTTTATTTCTTAATTAAATGCAACAAGAAGTTTACTGTGAGATGTTATTAGCTTGCTGGCTTTCACAAAACATTGACATATATCACTTTCTCCTGAACTAGAATATATAGTCTGCTTCCAAAGCTACTAATGACAGATGAGAGCAAGAATATAGTTTTATATAGTGAAAGAATATTTATTTCTCTTAAAATGCAATGTGTCAGGACTGTGTTCCCTCCCTTTTTATCTCAAACTCAAATCTGTAAAATCAGCCTCCTTGACTTTAGTTTTGCAAGCTAATTCTTCCTCTTTGTTCCAGAACTGTAGGTGGCTTACATTTTTTTCCTCACCCAGTCTATTTAACTAGCAGCCTTGCTCATGAATGAAATATGACTGACTGCTAACCAGAAGGCTGGTGGTTCAAATCCGCCAGCCACTCCTCGGAAGGAAGGTTGGGCAGTCTACTTCCATAGTGATACTGCCTCAGAAACCCAACAAGGGGTCGCTATGAGTCGAATTGGACTCAACTACAGTGAGTTTGGTTTTTTTGGTAACATGGTAGTGTTATTTACTCACACATATCAAAGAATGCCTGCCCTCTGGCATGCAGAGCAGTTTCTACAGTAAGGAGTGAAGTAGCAAATGGACCCTGCCAGAAATAAAGCATTACACCCTAGGGAGACTTTTTTTTTTAAAAAAAAAAAAAAAAACAACCAGAGAGCTTGCTCAAGACTGCCAAGAAAGTTGCATAGTTTGAGCACTGCAAAAGGGCCCCAGCCTAAGAGGTGAATGAATAATCACTGAAATCCATCAGGTACTCTGCATAGCTGGGCACCTTATGCCTGGACTGTGTCTACCAAGAAAGCATACCCATTAAAAATTCATTCAGATGTGCCATCCACTCACCAAGCCTTGTAACCACGTGATGTGTGCAACTTTTCTAATTCACACAAATCTCTGTATAGGCTCACGGCAGCCTCATGGAAGCTGAGCTCATTAAGAGTTAGTTGGATACTGTTCTCAGCATGTAACTTTCCTACTTAGAAATTAAAATTGGAATGGCATCACTTGGCCCTATGTTATCAGAAGAAGGAAATAAAAAAGAAAGAAGCAAAGTGAGAATTGTCAAGTTATTCAGGGGCAGTGCAAGGAACTAGAATGGATGCCTTCTGACTTCTAATTCATGCTCTGAAATCTTATCCTTAGCTTTCCGGTGACCCCTTTATTTGACCTTACCCTATCCATCTCGTTCTAAGTTCAGAGTAGCTGTGCAATGGCATGTTTGTTGACTGAAAGAATGAGTGCCTATTCAAGCCTATTTTCTAATGATTCTTCCCCCATTTCCCACAACTTCCACACTCCTATGCCACATCCATTCCTTTTGCTTAGCTCCTATTATTGTCCCCACCGATAATACTCACTTCTCTCTACCTGGTCAACTCTTACATAAGATTCAAGGCTCAGTTGCAGATCCACCTCCTCCATGAAGCTTTCTTCCTCTAGCCTTCATTAAGATGGAGAAGGGGGTACCATGAATGAAGGTTGAGCACAGGTGTTGAGACTTAGTGGAAAGAGCACTAGTTTGGACTCTAGGACCTACATTCTAGGCCTAGGTCTACCAGAAACTGCCTGTATCATCTTGGATAGATTCTAAGACATTTCTGAGCCTCATTTTCCTCTTCCCAATAAATACAAGCATTGGCCTATATTGGTGTCATTGGTGTCATTCAGTGTGTGGCATGCATAATGCTGGTGAAGGTAACTTTTAGTGGTACAAGAACAAACAGTACTTTAGTGGAAATGCATTTGTTTTCATGTATTTAAGGAAATAAAAACATTAAATGCATGGTTTCTTGGATATTTATTGTATATATGACAAGGCTAAGTGTTTTAAGTTTGAAAAGGTAATCAGTTTAAGAAACCAACAGTACTCAGATGTAGCAGAAATGGTAAAGTGATACAAGAATGGTGGAGGTTTGGGGGGTACTAGAGGAGCTAGTCATTCAGTTCCCTTCCAGTGCTCTCACTGGGGCCCTTCTTTGAAATCATTTAGCACTGACAGTTAGGCACAGTTAGGTATGCCTTACTGTTAGGTATTGATGACAATACCCCTGTCATTGTTACAGCTGTGTCTGATATTCTTCTATCCCTATCCACTCGGCACAGTATTAGCCACAAGCTAGGCCTTCAGAAAGGACTGTTGCTTCATTGCTTTCCTATATTGTCTCTAACATTTACAAAAAACATCAACTCAGAGTGGTAATGTCCTAGTATAAACACTAGGTCCACTGTTACAAGTGTGAATGTTTTCCCATTTATAAAAATCATGTAGACTCCTTGTATAAAATTTGGAAAATACAGAAAAATGTAGAGTGGAATGAAAGAAGGCATCCATGTTCTTACTAGCCAACAACAAGCTGTGCTAATATCCCTCCATAAAAAAAATTTTCTCCTGTAAAATCCCAGCAATTGGAGATCGATCTGTTTATCATTTTGGAAACTTGGAGAAGTCCTGATTATGTATTTACATCCTAAACCATAAGTCAGAAGCTTTCAGTGGAGAATCCAGTAGTGGAGGCCCACTGGCACCTCCATAAGCAGCAGTGGGGTAACAGCCACACAGCTGAGTCAAAGGAAAATAATAACTGATACTTTTTGTAAAATGTGTTAGGTATGCAGAGCTATGTGCTACCTAATGATGGCTCAACATTCTGTGTATACACATACTTATTTGTATATTTGTCTTTCCTGTAGGGTTTTTGGAGTCTCTGGATGACTTTTACATTCTTAGCAGTGGTTTGATATTGCTGCAGACCACAAACAGTGTGTTTAATAAAACTCTACTCAAGCAAGTGGTACCCCAGTCTCTCCTGGCCTGGCAAAGAGTCCGTGTAGCCAATATGATGGCAGATGGTGGTAGGATGTGGGGAGAGATCTTTTCAAAATACAACTCTGGTAGGTGGCCCTCCAAAATAACTTTGAGGCATGCTTAAGTTTAGATTTGGGGTTAAAAAGTAAAGCCATACTCATGCTCTTCCTGCATGTCTCCTGATATTTCAGGTACTTATAACAATCAATACATGGTCCTGGACCTGAAGAAGGTGGAGCCGGGTTACAGCCTTGGCAGTGGCACTCTGTACATTGTAGAGCAAATTCCTACATATGTTGAATATTCTGAACAAACTGAAGTTCTACGGAAAGGTACTTTCTTCATGCTAGAAGTCTGGAAGTGTGATGAGTGTGTGTGTGTGTGTGTGTGTGGTGGGAAGTATAGAGAAAAAAGGATGGGTGTGCCGTTGCTAGTTACACTGGGAAAGGATTATCACATTTAGCATAACCTATAAAATCCCCACCCCAAACTATTATGCTATGGTGTGATTCAGAAACAAGTCAGGCATTCAGACATTATGACTTCTCATGGTTCTAATATTACCTTCTTTCTCTGGGTTCCCCTGGGTAAAGCTGTTAGTTCAATTCAGCAAATATTTATGTAGTGATGTCCTAGCCTAGAAATGGGAAAACTAAAGCCCTCAAGGAACTCATAGTCTAGGAGGAAAGCACGATACATATACCAGCCACTGAAACTCAGAATGCCAAGAGAAGGGAGTAAGGTCTGGTGTACCACACACAGTGGTAAGTCTGAAGAGGGTACCACTGTTGATGAGAGAGATCAGGATAGGCCATTCTAGAGCCAGAACATAGCACAGACACTTGAAACCCAGGTTCTGGGGTCACAATGCCTGGGTTTGAATCTCTGCTTCCCAAAGTCTCGAGAAAACCTACCTCTTCAAGCCTCATTTTCTTCTTCTGTATAATACCATAAACAAACAACAACAACAATAACAAACCACTGCTATCAAGTCCATTCCAACTCATGGTGACCCTATAGGACAGAGTAGAACTGCCCCATAGGGTTTCTAAGGTTGTAAATCTTTACAGAAACAGGCTGCCACATCTTTCTCCCAAAGAGCAGCTGGTGGGTTCAAACTGACCACGTTTTGGTTAGTAGCTGAATGCTTTAATCACTACACCACCACATGTGAAATAAGTCAATTATAAAAAGGCAAATATTACACGAAACACCTAAATTGGCAAATGTATAGGGACAAAGTTTAGTGGTTAAAGGGGCCCTGGTGGGACGATGGTTAAGCATTTGGCTACTAACCAAAAGTCGATGGTTTGAACCCACCCAGAAGCTCCGAGGAAGACAGACCTGGGCATCAGCTTCCATAAAGATTATTACAGCCTGGGAAATCCTATGGTACAGTTCTTCATCACATGGTGTTGCTGTGAGTTGAAAATCTAATTCAGTGGCCCTTACCAACAAAAACCAGGGGCCAAAAGGAGGGGAACAGAGGAAGTTGTTGCTTAGGGGACTCTGAGTTTCTGTTACTGGGATGGAGAATTTGGAAACAGACAGTAGTGGTGATGCTTGCACAACACGATGAACGTAATCAATGTCGCTAAGTTGTCAATGAAAACTACTAAATTGTCAAATGTTATATATATATATGTATATGTCCACAATAAAAAAGTGGCTAATTTTTTTTTAAATACCATACAGATCCACAATCACTTATTTGTAATTTTGAAATCCCAAAACTAAAGCTAGAAGTTTCTGTTTTTTGTTTTATCCTAGTTTATTTGATAGCAAAACACAACCTAATCTAGACTTAGTTAGCAGCAAAAGCTGATGTGAAACTATTGATAGTCTTTATTCCCTCTAAGAGTGACTACTTACACATAAAACAAACCATTTATACATGCCATCCAGTTGATTCTGACTCATAGCCACCCTCATTTGGTTTCCAAGGCTGTACATCTTTATAAAAGCACACTCCCCCATCTCTCTTCCACAGAGCAGCTTATGGGTTTGAACAACTGACCTTTTGGTTAGCAGCCTTAACCACTACACCACCAGAACTCCTGCTTATATATTAGGCTACAGAAATAGCTGTCCTCAATTGTAATTCTTATGTATGTATTCCTGTTGTCCTAAAGTATGAAAAACCCTGAATTCTTAAGTATATTGGGCCCCCAAGACTTTTTGGATGTGGGAATGTGGACCTTGACAATCCCATAGGTTGTCATGAGAATTAAATGAGATAATTCTTGTAAATTTTTGAGCACAGTGCTGGCAATAGCAAGCACTCTTACCTTGCATCCAGCATAGTGCTTGGCACACGCAGTGAGTCCTGGATGACTGTTTAATAAATGAAAGGAAGATGGTGTCTGAGTGAAGGTTTCAAGGCTAAAAGGGAGCTCACCAATTTGACAAGAGGACAAGGTCATTTCAGGCAGAGCCAAATGAATGACGCATGAACATGGTGTGACATGACTGGAAAACTATTCATAGCTCAGTATAGCTAGAGGGGGAGTCCCTGGGTGGTGCAAATAGTTAAATGCTTGGCTGATAACTGAAAGGTTGGCAGTTTGAGTCCAACCAGAGGTGACTCGGAAGAAAGAACTGGCAATTTAGTTCTGAAAAAATAGTCATTGAAAACTCTATGGAGCACAGTTCTGCTCTGGCACAAATGGAGTTACCATGAGTCTGAATCGTAAAGTGTAAAGTAGGTAGTGAAAGAAAATTTCAGCCTTGTAAACCCTGCTGAGAAGCTTAGCCTTGATCCTTTAGAAAATGAAAGGTTGTAACAAGGTGGTGTTTTTTTACCTAATGCCACTCTAGGAGCTCTGGTAGCATAGTGCCTAAGGCACTTGACTGCTAACCAGAAGGCTGGCGGTTCAAACCCACCAGCCACTCCTCGGAAGGAAGGTTGGGCAATCTACTTCCAGAGTGATACTGCCTCGGCAACCCAAGGAGGGGTCACTATGAGTCGGGGCTGACTCGACGGCACATAACAACAGTGCCACTCTAACAGAAATACCACAAAAGGGTGGCTTTAACAAACAGGAGTTTATTCTCTTACAATTTTGGAGGCTAGAAATCCGAGTTCCAAGTGCCAGGCTCTAGGGGCTGTGTGAAGGCCCCTCAACCTGGGGCTTCAGCTCTGCATCTTGATCTCAACTCACTTGAGCTAGAGGCATCTCTTCACTGAAGTAGCTGCTGTCTGCTGAGGCTGACAAACCCAGGGTTGACAAGTGAAAAGGCACAGTCCTGATATCACCAAACCGCACAGCAGGCCATTGATTCAAGTCCTTTGAAAGTCCCAAGATCGGCAGACCACAGCAGGCTGCTGAATGAAGACTCAGCTACTTGCAGGATTCGAGTGTGCCAAAAAAAACTAGAGACCATTCCCAAATCTCCTGTTTATCTGCGGGAAGCAGAGTACCTCCCTAAAGCAGCTACTCAGCTGCTTGTGGCAGATTCCACCGTGGAGTTGATTGCCAGTCTCATCAATGAGGAATAACTACCACCAGCTGCCCAGCCACTCAAAACCAGGCCCAGCCAAGTTGAAACACAAACATAACTACCACAGATGGAATAGGCTTGAGGTGTGGGAAAGGAAAGGAGAAAGGAGGCTAGTTAGGAAACTATTGGAATCAGCTGACACACAAGTAGGGAAAGAACTAAGTTGGGGATTAGGGCCAGGTGCTCAGTTTCCCAGGTTCTCAATCTCTATTTTGTATGGCAATTGGAATGCACAATCTCAGTGGAAAATGGCTCACACCAATTAAAGGCACTTATGTATAACACAGACTCCAGTTAAGAGTCAAGAACATCAACTGCCAAGCAGATCAAATGTGGCAAACTTACCTTCTCTTCTAGTAGAAAAATCATCGGAGAAGTCCATCACTAGGCAGTTTCTTGGGTAGAGTGGTGGTTCCAAACTGAGAACCTGGCAGTGCTGCCTGGAAAGCTGGTCCCATCTCGCTTCTCAGAGCCAATGATAGCATGCCTCCACAGGGAGATGCTGGGAGCAGCAGACTGATTAGCCACACTCCTCCCCCCCCCCCCCGAACTCTTGCTGATAATAAAATAGATTTAGGTTGTTTGCAATCCCATTCAGGTTCCATAAAGAAAACTATCTGAGACTACAAAAAGGCTGATCTGTCTATATTTGTGTCTATAAATGTGATTTGCCCAAATAACAAATTGGTATTATATAGCCATTAAAAAAAAGAAAAAAAAAAAAATCCTCCAAACCTCCTAGCATTTGGTAGTAGTTGTGGTATGGTGGCAAAGCTCTGGGGACATGGTGCCTAAGGCATTAGACTGCTAACCAGAAGGCTAGCGGTTCAAACCCACCAGCCACTCCTCGGAAGGGCATTGAGTTTGGTTTTGTTTTTTTGTGGTGTGATGTACTGTGGTTAAGTCCTGTGTTCTTTTAGTCAGAAGCCATGTATTCTGTGTTTTACCAAGTTTTGTGAGGCATTCGGCCTCTCAACCTCTGTTTCTTGCTTCATAAAAACCAGTTGCCATTGAGTTGATTCCAATTCATGGTGACTCATGTGTCTGAGTAGAGCTGTGATCCATGGGGTTTTCAATGGCTGAGTTTTCAGTAGATCACCAGGCCTTTCTTCTGAGGTACCTCTGGATGGACTCAAACCACCAACCTTTAGGCTAGCAGCCAAGTGTGTTAATCATTTGCACCACCCAGGGACTCCCTCTTCCTTCATAAGGAGGGAGGGTAATATTTTATTGCATCAAGTTGTCAGATTACATAAAATATTCTCTCTCAAATGCTTTTGTAAGTTATGAAACTTTATAAAAACATGAAGTATAAAGCAGTCATTTTTTATCATTCATTCAAGCTGTTCTCATAAAGAAAAATATTGTAATAGTTAATACTCATTTAGTGTTAGTAGGCACTCTCTCATTCACTCAATGCTCACAACTCCTATGTTGTTGTTGTTGTTTGCCGTTGAGTCGGCCCCAACTCATAGCAACCCCTCCTTGGGTTTCCGAGGCAGTATCACTACGGAAGTAGGATTGCCCAACCTTCTTTCCGAGGAGTGGCTGGTGGGTTTGAACCGCCAGCCTTCTGGTGAGCAGTCAAGTGCCTTAGCCACTATGCTACCAGAGCTCCTACAACTCCTATAAGTACTACCAAAACCAAAGTAGTTACCATCCAATTGATTCCGACTCACGATAATCCCTTATGTTGCAGAGTAGAAATGTATGCCACAGGGTTTTCAAGGCTGTGACCTTTGGGAAGCAGATCAGCAAGCCTTTCTTCTGAGGCACCTCTCAGTGGACTCAAACCACCAACCGTTTGATAGCAGCAGAGTGTGTAAATCATTGTAACTTTGGGTAGGCTTGAACCACCAACCTTGCAGTTAGTCGGTTTGTAGTCGGAGAGGTCTGGTGGAGTAGTGCCTAAGGCATTTGGCTGCTAACCAGAAACCTGGCAGTTCAAACCCACCAGTCTACTGCTGTAGAGATAGAAACCAAAACCAAGCTCACTGCTGTCGAGTCAGATCCGGCTCATAGCAACCCCTCCTCAGGTTTCCGAGGCAGTATTGCTATGGAAGTAGATTGCCCAACCTTCCTTCCGAGGAGTGTGGCTGGTGGGTTTGAACCACCAGCCTTCTGGTTAGCAGCCAAATGCCTTAGGCACTATGCTACCAGAGCTCTTTCTGTAGAGATACCACCTCAGAAACCCAAGGAGGAGTTGGCTATGAGTCGAAATTAACTTGATGGCAATGAGTTTGGTTTGGTTTGGTTTAGTGATGCCTAAGTACAACAATTGTTTATATTTTATAGATGGAGAAACTGAGACACAGAGAAGTTAAAAGAATTTTGTCCAAGGCCACACACCTAATGATAGTAGAACCAAACTTCAAACCTAGTTTAACTCCAGAGTCCTAGATATATTTTAGCAACAAATCTGATTTTAGCTGGTAATTTCACTGTCATCCTGGTGCTAGCTCTGTGTCCCTGTGTCCCAGAATTAGCAAGGGTGAGTCTCGTGTCTTTTGCTTTGTCTCAATAACCTTACCCTGAGTAAAGGTCCTATACAACAGTAAAAGGGGAGACTATCAGACATGGGCCAAGAAAAAAATATGGGGATGAGAAAGCATTCCGAATGATAGGGACATTCCTGTGTTGGCTGACTGTCCTGTAGGCAATAGCTCAGGCCACTGTAATCTGGAATGTGCTGGAAATTCTGCTTTTACTAGTGCTGTGTCACATGTTTTGGTGTTTAGTGATAAGGTTTGTGTGAGTTTGGTATGCTAAAAAGCTTTGAATGAAGCTGAGCCGTTATGAGAATTTAGTCAAAGGAGTTAAAAGTCTTCAGGGAGTTTAAGGCTGTATCTCCAATCTCCTCACATTATGGACACCCCCACCAAAAAAAAAAAACAAAAACCACAGTTGGGAAGAACAAAAAAAGTTAGGTTAACTGCCTAAGGCCCTGAGGCTACCCAGTGTTAGTTCTTCCACTATCCCATGATTAGCATCTGCCATCTTCCCCTTCAGACCCACATCATGAAACCATCTTTTGGCATTTCAGTAACCAAATTCACTTTGAGCTCCCCAGACTACTTTGCATTATTTCCTCTGCATAGAATAAGGTTATTTCTTGGTTTGTAGATTGCCTTTCAGGTTTTGGGTGAAAACCAAAGCATTCTGACACTCTTCTTCCCTAGTGGAATAATGGGTAGGTATACCAATTCTGGGTATTTAAAAGGGTTAGTTTGGCTGCCAGTGGCTCACATTAAGAGTTTTATTTTCAATAAAGCAGTTATACATCTGTGCCAGTTTTCAAAATGATCATTAATTAATAACTTATTTTGTTGGTTCCTTCTTTCCATCTCTCTCTCTGTCATCTCCACCGTTTGTCCTCTTCCATTCCAAATCAGGATACTGGCCCTCCTACAACATTCCATTCCATGAAAAAATCTACAACTGGAGTGGCTATCCACTGTTGGTTCAGAAGCTGGGTTTGGACTACTCTTATGAAATGGCTCCCCGAGCCAAAATCTTCCGGCGTGATCAAGGGAAAGTGACTGATATGGAGTCTATGAAATATATCATGCGATACAACAGTATGTAGCACATTTTTCGAGACTCATCATTCTTCAAAACTCTTTTTCTTCCCCATAGATAAAGAATCCATGTAAGTTTATCATCTCCATACTAAAAGGAATTATAGGAAGTTATTGAATTAAGAATTTAGAATTAAAATAATACTAAACATATTTTACACTCATTTGTCCTCATTTATAAAATAACAGGGAAGGAAGATCCTACATATTATTCAATTGGAAAAAAATATATGGAAGGCCAGAATTAACCCATGTGGGGTGCTTCTCTCCCCCACTGCCAAGTTTCCTTTCATGGTCAAAAATAGCTTAAAAAGAAAAATAGTCATACATATCTTTAGTTTTGATTGTTGTTATGTGCCGTCAAGTCATACCTGACTCATAGTGACCCCTCCTTGGGTTTCCAAGGCAGTATCACTATGGAAGTAGATTGCCTAGCCTTCCTTCCGAGGAGTGGCTGATGGGTTTGAACCACTAGCCTTCTGAACAATATCAGTTTTTCTCTTGTTGGAAAAATTCTCTCACCGGCTGATTCATGCATATTTATCCTCTATTTTCTCTCTTCACTAAGCAAGATTCCTGAGGGCAGGCTGGGCCTAGAGCAGAGGATTAGTACAAGCCAAGGGAGACTTCTGTATCTGGGAGCAGGCTGGGATGAGGAGGCCTGTGAAGAGTATACTCTGAATAGCTAGGGTTTTACAGGTCCCCAAATCTTTCTGTGGATGAGTGTATCTCAGAACAGCCAATACTCACTCTTTTTCCCATCACTGTTTTAGAGTATAAGGAAGATCCTTATAGTAATGGTGATCCCTGTAGTACCATCTGTTGCCGTGAGGACCTCGCCTCAGTTAATCCAGTTCCTGGAGGTTGCTATGACACAAAGGTAATATACTGTTGACTTTTGAATTTAATTTCCACCAGCATTTAGACTTATTCAAAGGGAAAGGGTCTGAGAAGATTTTTTATGGAATAAAGCACAGTACTATGAACTTAATTCTGGCTACCAATGCCAACCACTCAGGAAAGGATCAAATCTGGAGATCCTAGATAGAGTGGGAGGGAAAATGTGGAACAAAATCCAAAAACTCAGTAATGACCAGAATGACTGGTCAGATGGAATCTGGCGAGACTCCCAATACTATGGCCCTGAAATACATTCAGTGCCTGGAATAAAACTCACCCCCAGGGATGGGCTCTCAGCCTAATAGTTAACAAGATGTACATGCAGACCACTCAACCCAGGATGCCGCACCCACACACTCAATGGTAATACATCCCTTAGAGCAATAGACCATGGGACACCAGAGGACCAATATTCAAACTGAGAAAATGCAGGTCAAACAGGTGTGCATAATTATGAGGGGCACAGGGGGAGGGTTGCAGGGTAGGGAGGGAAGGAGACTGGGTTAGGGTTGACATGGCGAATGGGGAATGAAACTAAATGTACATGTGATGTTGAATGTAAAACAAGTTCTTAAAATAAAATTTAAAAAAATAAAAAGAAGGAAAAAGAAATCAGCTATTTTAGAGATTCTGATGGCAGGTCCCATTGCCTAACTTCAGGTCCCTGCTCTGTCATGTAACAGTAATATTTGTTTCCTTGTCTATCAAATGGAAATAAGTACTTACTACATAGTATCATTATGAAGAATAAACAGTTATTATCTATTACATGTTTAAAACAATACTAAGTGGGCTGTTTGTAGATGTAAGTAATGATGATGATGATGATGATGATGATGATGATGATGATATTGTTGCCTATAGTTTTACTGGGCAGGCTCAAAGGCCAAAGATTATCAAGAGCAGTATGATTTAACATTACACATGAATTGAATTTAGCTGAACTGTTGGACCAGATACCACAAACACTATAGGATTTTCCCTTTTTTAAAATTGAGTGCTGCAGTGTCTCTTAGTATCGATAATGAATGGGTATGCAGTCATGTGCTAAAGCTGGCTTGTACAGGCTTGTGAAAGCCAATTGTTAAAGCCGGTTGACATCACACTGACAGCTTGAAATCAGCCATGGTGGGAGTAGTTAACACTATAGAAATCAGGATACACTACAAATCCCTCAGAGAACTGGTTGTTAAAACATTTACCTGCACATCATTGGGTTTCAGTTATCTGAGGGTATGAGTTAGTCTTTTGGTTAGTGGAGAAACAGAAACATTCTAATACATCCTTTGGTATTTTTGGCTTGAACATATGTCCTTTGATTTGTTGCTAGTCTTAAATTCTGGAAGTAACCTGTTAGGAGTTGAGATAATTGTTCTTCAGCTCAGAAAACTACGCATAAAAATGCCAAACCCACCTGCAAATTACTTTCCATTAGCTTAATACCTAAGTAAAAAGGAGTTCTGGTGGTATGGTGGTTAAGACACTTCACTGCTAACTAAGGTCAGTCGTTCTGAAATAGGACCAAACACAGGTCCCGGCCCAGTGTGCAGTCAGGCCAAAACAGTTTACACACTGAGTGATTAAGAGGAATGAAAATTATTTATTGCAAAGTGGCAATGCAAGGAGGCAGGGGTACCCATACCCAGTTCTGACTCCCCAAAACGCCATCGAATTAGTTTTGTAGGTTTCAGAAGAGAAGGTTATGCATATTCATAAAATTTTCAGGAATTTGGGCGTGAGATGGTTGACGATTGGCTGAAATTTCCTTGGCCTTGGTTTAAAGGGACAATAGTGTTTTGATCCAGTGTGCTTGTGTACCAGATGAGTCACACCAACTTCCTATCATCAGCTGATTGGGCTTAGGCAGAGGGGAGAGTGTTAGTACCCAGTAACTTTGTTCCTCTTTGTCCCACTGTGCGTGTCTGTGAGCCAGAGTTAATTTTCAAGTTGTTTTCTAAGACACATTTATCACCTGTGCCTAAGGAAAGAGCAGGAAAGAATGTTTTCTGTCGCATTCAATTGTTAAGGAACTGAGCTTATTGTGTTTACTCATCTGTCTCCAACAGGGGTCCTGTTAGTCTTAACCAGGGTGGGAAAATAGTTGAGGGTAATTAAGCTTACTTATCTATTCCCATCCAGGGTTCTATCTGTTCTAACCAGGGTGGGGGGAAATAATTTTGACTTTACCTGGTTTCAGTTCAAACGCACCAGACACTCCTTGGAAGAAAGATGAGGCAGTCTGCTTCTGTAAGGATGTACAGTCTTAGAAACCCAAGGGGCGGGGGGTCACTATGAGTTAGAATTGACTAGATGGCAGTGAGTTTGGAGTTTTTTGAATGCCTAAACATGATGCTTGAGTACTCTTGAGTTACAGATCAACCTACTTTTAGCTATGTGATAGCAAAATTATAGCCTTAATGACTCTCAATGTTATATAATATAAAACAAGATAGTGGGTGTGGAGAATCTGGCACATATGAAGCCCCAAGGAATATTTTGTATTTATTTGGTTTTAATTGTATTTGCAAACATTTAATGAAGTGTGAGAAAAGTGGTATCTCCATGGCAGAATACACAAAGAAATCACCTCTCCCGCCTTTTCTGGGAGAAGCAAGCCACACTCCAAGCTGCCATATGCCAAACATCGCTGGGAAGTCTGATTTCTTTTGGAGACAGGAGCCTGCCATTTTTCATCAAAAAAGGTTTTGTGGAAGGATCTACTTTAAAAATGTACTTTCTCTCTTGAGAGCCTTGTAGAATAGTAAGGAAAGTCAGAAGTTTTAAGACATTTTCCTCCTATCTAAGGTCAAGCTCTGCTGCTGCTGCTACCCAGTTTTTAGTTTTTTGTTTTTTTTTTTTTTTTAATAGTGAGTTCCTTCTACTTTACTGTTACTGCCCTAAAAAATAATTTTTATTGAGGACTTACCGTATTCAATGCACTGCTCTTAAGTATTTACTCTCACTTATCCTCATGAAAACTCATGTAATAGGGTTATTAGTCCTGTTTTACATATGAGAAAAGTGAGTCACAGAGGGGTTAAATAATTTAAAGTTACGTTTTGGAGCTAGAATTCTGAACATGAGTAATCTGTCTACAAACTTCACACCTTCAGCCACGTTGTTAATTTATCATGAATCAATTCACATGTGAATACCAAATAGATATAGAATAATTATATAGATATGTGGAATCTTTTAAGAAAATTGTTTCAAAGGGGGCTAATATTGTACTTTGTAGAAAGAGAAATAAAAAAGTTACAGATTTTGTCTTTTTTAAAAATTGTTTTCTAAAATGTTTCTTTCCTTTTTCCAGGTGGCAGATATGTATCTAGCATCACAGTACACAGCCTATGCCATTAGTGGTCCCACAGTACAAGACGGTCTCCCTGTTTTTCACTGGAATAATTTCAACAAAACTCTCCATCAGGGCATGCCAGAAGCCTACAACTTTGATTTCATCACCATGAAACCATCTTTGACACTTGACAGAAAATGAAGATTAGGAAATACAAGGCTGCAGATAAAGATACCAAAGGCATTATTTTAGCTATGTTTTTCCCTTCAGAATTAATCTTAATAAAATATATGAAATTCAGTTTGTCACTTTCTTCTTTTACTACTGATTTTAACGGCAAGCATTCTGTATTATAGAGTGGAGCACTACAAAAATAACATTTAATATGACAAATAACAATACCAGGTTTAGCATGTAAGATTATGTACCACAAAAGGGCATTGCAAACTTTCCTGGCTCACCAAAACTCCTCTATTTTTATGTCTGACCACATAGCTAAACCACATCTCCCAGGTTCCCTTAGGTGGTGGTGCCATGTGACTGAGTTCTAGCCAGTGGAATCAGAAATGGGGTAAGTGCCATTTTCAGATTTGGCCCCTAAAAACCTGTAGTTCTCCATGCTCCTTCCTCTTCCTCTAACTGGACATGCTCAGTGACCCAGCCTTAGGGGATGATAAAAGTTGTTTTCAAAAGAAAATTTAGTAGAAATCCAGCTAGTGATTTTTCTGGTCATTAACAGGCATCAGTTGAATGTTTTGTAGTGAAGTCTAGATGCACAATAAAGCAAAGAGCAAACAATAAAAAGTAAGTTAGCACTTACCCAATATAGTAAGAGAATGTATGGTATAATCAGCCTAAGACTAAGGAATTCTTCCTTCAGTTAAAAGCAGTGTGTCTAATTGGGCAGTAACTCTGCATGGCATCTTTTTTTTTTTAAAGCCAGATGTTGTTTGAGAGCAATGGAATTACCAAGTAGGTTGAATAAGACACACTGTACAGCAGTATGTTGTTGGCTGCCATCAATTCCAATTCATGATGAGCCCATGTGGACCACATGTGCAAAGCAGAACTGCTCCCTAAGTTTTCAAGGCTGTGACCTTTCCGAAGCAGATCACCAGGCCTGTCTTTTAAGGTACCTCTGGGTGGGTTCAAATCAACAACCTTTCAGCTTGTAGTCAGGTAATTTTTAACAAGGTGGGAAATTTTCAAAAGAAAGAAAAACAAGGGCTGAGAACCATCAGAATGAATCAGAGTACTCAGAATGTTAAAAACCCAGTAATTTATTTCAAAGTATAAATTTCAGGCTTGCTGGACAAAATCCCACTACAGTTAACACTTATACAGACACCACTCTACTGTACATTTAAAAAAGGAGGGGAGGGGAACACACAAAAACCTTCAAAACGTAATAAAAATAGGGCAGGCTGCCCAGTTGATATTAGACATTAGGAAGGTCTTATGTTGCCTTATTATTTACACTTTCAGCTGCAATAAAGAAAAGTCAGGATGCAAGTTCCCTACAAAGGATTTATTTTATACTTAAATTTGAAATGGTTGATAAAATACTAAAGCCAGGATCCTCAAAAGGCAATTGATTGCCCAGTTACCTTATTTACAAACAAAACAATAATAATAAAAAAAGACAGCACTTAAATATAAATGATACTTAGCTGACTCTACAATAAGAAACAAAAATACATTTTAACACGATAAAATAATTTGAATATGAGAAGACAAAATGTGTTTTGTACTGTCCTCCTCTTCCCCATTAGTTGGCTCAAGGGGATGAATGAGTTTCAGAAAGGAGGCATGTCTGCCTCACTAACAAAACACCTTATGAGAATTGCTCTTTTTTGCCCCCCCTCAAAAGGCATAATTTTCCCAGTAAATAGTAATGAAGGCAGAATCATACAGTGATTTTAGATAAAGTTATTTGCAATAATCTAATACTGGGGCATGGTTTTACTGGACATCAGAATAAAACGGGCCAATGATGGGTCAGTGATATAAGAAAAATAATCACAGGACAATGAAATAGACCAAGAAGAAAAGATGGGTAGAACACTTGGAAGGTCTCTGCAGTATTCTACTGTGTTTAGATCACAGTACATCAGGGGAGATGAGGATACAACAGGCATTATGTTGTTGCTCTTGTACAGTACTGGAAAACTTATGGAAGATATATGTATATCATGCAATATTAACACTAACCTTGCTGCATAAATGATAAACTGAGAGAATATTTTAAGCAAAGGAGCAAACAAAAAATATCTTACTGTATCCAATACAGTAAGAGAATTATATGGTGCATTCAGGCTAAGGAGTTCTGCACACATATGCACACAGATAAGATTCTAAAGCTCCTTGCTTTTGGTCATTTTTTCCCAGGTATTATCTGGTAATGGAGGTGGGGCGGCAGGAGTTGGGAACACATCGTTGTGAGGCAAATGGTCTCTCAAAGAATTCACTTTTTAAGGAGGAAAGCTCTACTTTCCACTTCTCTCCTAAACTTACACTGTTAATAGTACACAGTATTCTGCATATTTTAAAAAGTGAGTCTAGAGGAGTGGAGGGATATAGTTATAAAGTTAGCTATTATGAACAAATGTTTTGTTTAAATGCAGTTTAGAAATTTACTGGCAAGAACACAATTTTAAAAAGAGGTTTAGTTAACACTTAAAACTGGGTGAAAATTACTCTGACAAAGTGCACAGCAGAAAGTAACAAACATCACTGTTACTTTTAAATGCCATATAAACATCCTACATTTCAGGTCGAAATATCAGAACTTTCCAATATTTCCAAAAAAGCAATACATACACAAGTATTGCCAGGCTAAAAATGTAGCAAACTTGTATTCCCCAAATGGGATAATTGAGCTTATTTGTAATACTTTGTGAAAAGGTACCACGAAACAAAAAGGGTACCATGGAGTGTGAATTGCTACTAAAATGTCTGTTTTAAGCAGCTGTTTCTTGCTGTGTTCTCCATTCTCTCTCCCAAAAGAAACAAGCTAAATAAAAAGCCAGAGCTCAACGATATTAAAACCTGCCCCAAAGGACTGCCTAGAATTCTGGTGTACCACCTTTCAGTACATCCAATACAGCTACTGCCTAAAAATCTCATGGCAAGCTAATCTGAGGGGCCCATATACTCCTTCCTTAAACCATTGCTATCTTCTCTTGGTACCTTCCTTCCACCATCCGGAATTAAAGTTTTAAGTATTTACCTTACTGTAGTAAAGTTATTTTCAGGTTACTATTTGAGAATTTTGTTTTTTTCCTTGGATAGAAAACATACAATATAAGCTAAAATAATGAAATCTTTTCATTCTACTGGGCTTTCCTCATCTGATTATATAATGCTATAAAAGCATTTCTTGTTTTTAAAGGATTAATAAATGAAACACATCAAGGGAACTTTTTCTAGGCTAGGTAAGTAAATGGTTGCAACATAACCATAAAATAGGCCAATACAGATCAATTTTTGAACATGGGCTTTCTAATTCTGTACATAGGAAATCATCTTGAACACATAATAAACATTAAAACCATTGTAGGTAAGAATGTATATACACAGATAGATAGGTGTTCATATACTAGGAGGTCATCAATTTCTCCATTTTGAAATGTCCATTGTCATGACATTGACAACTCCTTTACGTATAGATAGGTGTTCATATACATCTAGGCGGTCCTAAATTTCTCCATTTTGAAAAGTCCATTGTCATGACATTAACAACTTCTTTACTATCATCATTAAAATTAGTTGTAGAATGAGTAACATTTACACGGTTGGTAAACTTCAGTCATAAAAACCCTAATTCTCATTATGGTCTCATTTTTGAAAGTGAAAGGAAGGTTCCGGAGCATTTACATTTTGGCAATCTGTAGGCTTTCTTCAGCATCAAACTTGAAACTAAGATGACAGTACATGACCCTGCTACTGAACTTTCTCTCAAGAGAACTTTACAACCAGAATAATGCCTATTACAAACCATCCAAGTTGCAAATAAAAAAGCACTAATAGGAGGGACAGCTGCCTCCTATGATTGCAGGAAAAGTAAATGACATTTATTTTGAGAAGTTAGAAATATGAAGTCAAATATAGTAAGGGGGAGTGACTTGAAAAGTCATTTGAAAAACTCCATTAGTTCTTTTAAAAACATTTCCAGTCACACCCTCATCTTCAAACATACCCTAGCCCGTTTGTCCTAAACTAACTACACACTAAAACACTGAGCTGACAACCAGTATAGCTAGCATTCATATTGAAAATCCATAATCTAAGCTGAATTTTATTAACTCTGAAGAAGAGTGGAATTATGCAGATGTTTATATCTAATTGTTACATAAAATGACCCCAAACAATATATTCTCATTCTATTCAAAGCTTGACATAGGGCAATTGAGACTGAACTTGGCACCATCAAAACAAAGTTTCAAGGTTAAACCAGGATGACTGATAAAGAAATAAAAAGGAAATAGAGCTCTCTCTTTGACATTTTACTTTACCCTACTTTGTGAATTTTACTACTTAGTTCATTTGAAAGAAGAACACTAGGTTTTGGTGATACAGTGAACTAAAATTTCTTTCATAATCTCTAGGACACTGTACAACATGGATAGTAAAACACATTTCAAGGAAAAATTTCTTATACAATTTGGTTTTCTCTTGGTCCACTTTACACAGAGTCAATTTAAACAGTGACCAAAAAAATAAAAGCCATCTATATTCTTATAGATGAAAACAGCAAGTCAAATTTTTGAAGTTATGTACTGATACCGTAGGTGAGAATATATATAAGAGACTTAGTTTAAAAATTACTTGAGGGGCTAATGGTGTATTTGCTGGAGATGAGAGAGAAATGAAGGGTGAAAGGCTGAAGAGGGAGGAGTAAACAATGGACCTATGGCCGTGTTTATTTTTGTAGTTAGTTGTTAAGGCACAAAATAAAAACACCAGATAAGGAAAGGGAGGAGCCATTGCAGAGCTTTTTCACCTAATAATATTCTGTAATATCAATCCTAATCCTCAACAAACAACCCAGAAGAGATTAAAAAAAAAAAAGAAAGAAACATCCTTTCCTGTGTTCAAATTAACACAAATTAATGGCTTAAATTATTTTAAACTATTTAGCCATTTTTCTTTTCATTTATTTCTTTGGGTTTTGTTTAGATTCAGTTTAAATCATTAACTGTGATCTTACAGATCCCTTAGAAGCAGAATCATATCATGCCAGTTATATACCTCAAATCCTTTGATCTATTTCACTGGAAAAGAGGTAAATTTGAGAATGAAAGTGGAACATGTAAAAAAGGAAAAAAACACACAAACACTCACAAATATTCCCCAGCCTCAAAACTAAAAGTAAGGTGCACATTTAAATTTTAAAACCTTGAAGCTTGAATTGTCCAGGAAAATAGATTCTTGCTTTCTAGGCTGAGTTTATTTTACTTTAGGTAATAACCAAATGTAGTGTATAGACACATCTGTCCAAGAAATTCCGCCAAATGCTGACTTTACAATGGGTATCATGCACAAGATTAAAAACAAGACCAAAAAGTGGAACTTTTGAAAGAGTAACAGAGATAAAGGCTCTAAGGTTTAACTGCTCTGGGAAGAAGAGATCACATCTGTTGACTGAGGATCACAGAAAGGTCCAAATCGTCCATAAATATCCTTGGCTCGCACTGCAAAATAGTACTTGCTCCCAGATACAAACTGGGTCAGAGTGCATGCCATGGGCAAAGGAAGTGCCTTTACTTCCCCAATCTTTTTCCACTGTGAGGGCACAGTGGCACTGGGTTCCTCATGATAAGCATAGAGATGGTAGCTATCAACAGCGGCACAGCTTCGATCCACCTCCAGGACACTCCATGATAGTACAATGCCATTTTGACTCTGAACTCGTGCTAACTTCAAGTGTGGCTTCTGAGGCAGAGATGTGCTGGCAGCTTCTGGGGGCAGACGCTGTGGTTGTGGTGCTTCTGGTAAGGGTGCTGGATGCACAGGGCGTGGAGGCTCCTAATAAAAGAAGAGTCACATTAATTTATAATGATCACACAAAGACCATTTCAAAATGCTAGAAATAAAACACTTTAGTGATAGTACATAGATAATTTTACATCAAGAATTCTGGGTAATATATGCCTTCTGAACATGCCAACTCTGGCAACTTCTATCTAGTGATTTGTGACCAATCATGCCCTACACAATGGTGTTGAGGTTACTCCTACTATTTTATTACTGAAAATACCATGTTTTTCTTAGGAAATAAAAGCCCTCAGTGATGGAATTTCATCTTTACAAACACTGAAATATGCATCTAACAAAATAACTCATTATTTTTCTATGCTACAGACTCTCAACAGTAGTATAATGTAATATTTTAAAATACCTTATGTAGCAGTCTATCACATGACATTTGAGAATTCAATTACATTTTCATTTTTAGGCTGTTTTGACATATAAAGCTAATACCATATTCTTATAAATAATAACATTTAATGCCAAACGCTTACTGTGTTCTTGGCACTGTGCCAGTCTATATGAGCGAGGTAACATTTAAATTGAAGATAGGCTTTAGAATACAGAAATTTCTGTAAACCTTTTACCCAATGGGTTAAGCAGGAGCAAAAACATGGGGATAAGAGTGAGAAAACTTATGGGCAAGAACAAATGTTAACTTTTTCTTGGATACACACTATGTAAAAATAATGGAGGATAAATTTGGAGGGAAGGCTGAGACCGGACAATAAAAATGCATGAATTACTAAGCTTAGGAAGACATACTAATTTATCTAACACTGGAGCCCCATCATCATCATCATAATCATTATATCAGAGTTTTAAAATTATACTGATAGCTATTTCTTTAAGAAACAGTAAAGAAAGAACAAGGAACTAGGGATATGAGTGATGTTTTTTTTTCAAGTGGAAGACATCATTTTTCACTGACTTTATATTGGCACAAAAAATAACATTCCCTTACAATAATTCATTATACAAAAAAATGTTTTAATATGTACTTAATTAAGTTAATTATTTGCATATCTTGAATAGTGAATTTCATGAAGGTCTGATGGTATCTTTTTAATCTCCATACCTTCTCAAAGTTTAGGAGCAGTGACTTGCACACAGTAAAAACTCAAAAAGGATATGTTGAATAATTCCATGGAATGCAAATGAACTGCTGAAATTCATATACCTAGTGGAAAAAAATCATCTACATCTGGAAAATGTAGTTAAGAAGCAAAAAAATAAGGTTACAGAAAAAAAAAAATCAAATTTAGTTAGACTGCTCATTGAAAGCTGAGTAGAAATTATTCAAGTACTGTCCATGTTGATGTATTTCCTCTCTCAAAGTATCATTTTTTACCTCAAATACCTTTAATCACTTAAATAAGTAATATTAAATAAATGTTACAGCTAGTAAGACATAAAAGAAGATGGCTAACTTCATGAACTCTGATTGCAGACAGCAAAGGAGTTTAAGAAATCTGACAATAGTTAAAAAATTCTGTAATATCTGTTCTAATCCTTAATATTCTAGGATTCTGAATTTGCTCAAACCACAGTTTTTTTGTTGTTGACTTTGTTTTATTCTGCCATTGCAATGAAGGTTTTTCTTAAAGTTTTACAGATTAATTGTTGATGTTCAGGGTTTAGTAAAGTAAGTAGAAACCATTATATTATTTTCTCTCCTTTCACATGTTTGAGAGCGCTCTGGTGGTGTAGTGCCTAAAGCATTTGACTGCCAACCAGAAGGCTGGTGGTTCAAACCGACCAGATACTCCTCGGAGGAAAGGTTGGACAATCTATTTCTGTAGTGATACTGCCTCAGAAACACAAGGAGGGGTCGCTATGAGGTGGACCTGACTCCATGGCAGTGGCTGCGTTTTTTTTTTTTTCCACACGTTTGAAAATAGCAATGTAAGTTTTTAAATATTACACTAAACTAAAATTTAAAAAAGAATGTTCTCTAAGAGATACAGAGTTTATCTAAGACAATACACATGGGATTCTGGGAGGGAGGAAAGGAAAGAAGAAAGGAAGGCAGGCTGGCTTTCAATGGCTGTCAAATCAGCAAGAATTATGCTATGTATTTTTCTGAAGGAGTATATGATGAAAGAAATTATGTGCAATTGCAAACAATAGTAATGTTTGTATTTTGTCACATACCCTAATAGGGTCAGATCTAAAGTACAGTGAAAATATGCTCAAAGTGTTAGAATCAGGTAACATGAATTTTTTTTTTTTTTTTAAATGGGCTAGATCTGACATTGGGTAGTAACACTGAGCAATTATTTAACATCTTTGTGACACAGTATCCTTTTCTATCAAAAAAGGACAGTATTTCTCATAGGGTTGTGAGGATTAAATAAGATAATACATATAAAGTGCCTGGCATACAGTAAACCCACTGCCATTGAGTTGATTCCAACTTACAGTGACCCTTTTACAACAGAGTAGAACAGCCGCATAGGGTTTCCAAGGCTGTAAATCTTTACCGAAGCACACTGCCTCGTCTTTCTCCCACACAGCGGCTGATGGGATCAAGCCACCAACCTTTTTGGATTGCAGCCCAGTGTTTTAAACACTGTGCCACTAGAACTCCTTTGTATATAGTAAGTACTCAGTTAATGATACTGGTTTTTTCACTGTGGTCAGACAATGTAAATAGTAGCTGTTAAGAGAACAGGTTCTAGGGCTGGAATGTGTGGGTCCAATTCCACTTACTAGGTTTTGGTAACATAATGCCTCTGCATACTAGCTACCATATCTATAAAAAAAGGACAGCAACAGTAAACTATCCTAAAGCACGCTGGTATGAGGACCCCATATATTAACAGTACCTTAAGGAGCTCTGGAGGTGCAGTGCCTAAGGCATTTGCCTGCTAACCAGAAGGTTGGAGGTTCAAACCCATCAGCCCACTCCACGGAAGGAAGCCTGGGCAATCTATTTTTGTAAAGATTTACTGCCTTGGAAACTCAAAGGGTCGACTCGATGGCAGTGAGTTTGGTGTTCTGTTTTTTGGACATATGGTAAGCACTCATTAAATATTAGCAATCACTATAAATATATTTTTTAAAGGATGTTTTTCTAGGTAAAAAGTTCTTATGTATTAACCTCGCTATCCCTCTCTTCGTATAAAGTGAACATTTCCATGATGTATTTCATATCAATAAAACATATTTCATAATCACATTACAGGATAATGTGACATTGATTTAGGGGCTAAATCTAAGTAAAAGTCTTTGCATTTCTCTGTATCTCTTACCAAATGAATTCCAAATATCAAGGGATTATTAAAAACATTAAATTGATGACAATGTCACAAATGTTATAATGTTTTGAGGAAAATAATAAAGTTGGAGGATGAAAAAATAGAAAACATTCTTTTCAATTTAACTATGAGTTAGAAGTAGTCTATTTCACTTCCCTTGACCTACCAATGGACTCTCTGTACACTATACACAAGCTCAACCAAATGATGATCATATCCCTAGAAACCCTTGTTAATAATATCAATTTTCTTATACTCCTGCTAGAAAAACAGAAAGACTGACTTCTGTAAGATGGAGGAATAGGCAGACAAGTGACACAAACCTTCTTCAACAAACAAGAAAAACCAATTAACAGAGATACAGAAGATAATCCTGGAGCCCTGAGCTTTGAAAGGAACTATGCAGAAGTGGATTAGGCACCAACCAGTGGAAAAACCTGAGCAAAAACAGTGAGTACAAAGACGGCTGGAGCTGCGGACTGTCGCCTACTCTGATGGGACCAACAGCCTGAATACTTCCAAGTGGTGTTGGAACCTGAGAATTGACCTAAGATCAACCCTGGTCACCAAGGGCTACAGGGACAACTGCGCTGGTGGCCTATGACTAGGAAGGGAAACAGCAAGGAGGGAGAACCTGAGCTGTTGACTTTCCGCTGTCCGGAGGGCACAGTCATTTTGACTGTTTACATGCAGCAGCCATTTTGGATATTTAAAGTGACCGAGGGCAGAGCCATTTTGAATGTTTACAGGTGGCAACCATTTGGATTTTAAAGTGATAGCATTCTCATTCGTATTCCAGAGACCTAAGAATAGACTCTGTTTGCCAAGGTGGGCAGGGACATACAAGAGGCTGACAACAGGAAAGGAAGATAGGTGATGA